TTAAAATAAAGTAGGCAATGAATGCAAAAATGTCATTTTTTTTAACACTTTTCTTATCTTTTTTATCTTTTTTTTTCTGTGTGACTGGGTAAGTATATAACCTTTGTGACAAAAAAAACCTGATTATTAAGAGTTACTAATTAACACTGCATTTCAGTAGCAGTTCAAGATTTCTTTTCACAAACTGAAAGGGACAAGTTTTATGATTTTTTAACTGCATTGCAAATATCACAGCCTCATAAATGACTTGATTTATTGCAGACAGGAATGGAGATTTGTGCGTCCTTCGATTTTGAAGTGTAGATATAAGGGGCCTAATTTCAGCTCTCTATCACCTTTTTACATAATGGCTAGCTGAGAAAATATATTCATTTTACCAATTGGAAATATTTGAATTTTCACATTGCATCTATTTCTTTATTATACATCAATTTGAATTATGTGTTTCTGCAGTATAGGGACAGTCAATCCCCAATTTTATTTATTTTTAATTAAACGTAATATTGAGTCATGTCTGATTTTCAAGGTATGTTTCTTATTTTTCCTTGTTCCTCATGGCTTTTTTGATGCAACATTATAGGTTATCTACGACGATTCTTCCGATGTTCAAAGCATACAACAGAGAGATTGAATCTGGGAAGCCTTTAAAGGGAACAACTTTAAAACCACTAAAGGGAGACCCCTAAAGTACTTTAGCTTGCTGAAATGCTTCATTTGTAAAGAGTGTGTCCACTTTCTTTCATAAACAAAAAAGTACAGTTTCAATAGAAATTGGCACTTTCATAAATTAATCTGGTTACACCCCCTGGTTGTCTAGCAAACCACAGGTCCTGTTACTTCCTGGTTCGGTTAGCTCAGTGGAGCTAAACTCAAAAGATAAGCAATTGTCCAGAGCACCTGACTTGCAGAGACTTCTCATTGGGCTGCAATGGAAAGTCTGTGATTGGGCAGGCACAGAAAGAGGAATTGTAAAGGCTGCACGCAAGAGAACTGCAGTTTTCGCAAGCTAGTTTTAGATATACTCCAATACCAAAAAAAAAATTTTTTTGTCATTGGGGGCATATCTACTAAAAATTGCCATTTATTTATTTATTTGTTTGTTTTGTATTTGGGCAGTGGAGTTCCTTATTAAGCATTCTTTATGCTTCCAAAACAAGTGAATGAGAGCATATTAACTTGTACAGTGCATCTGATACATTTCACAGAACTAAGATTGCAGGAATTAAAAAAATGTATATGTATACATTTTTATGAAATAATCAGAAATACTGTGGAAAAGAGAAATGTGCTAACCTGAACAAGACCAAAACTTTCAAAACACAGGCCTCATTGCATTTCAACATTAATTTAGCAAATATAAAAAAAAATAAGACTCCTAGATATTAACCATAGCTAGCAGGTGGTAGACAAAAGCTATTTAAAAAACAATTGCATAAAATGCAGGACAAGTCTCTTGCAATATGACATATGCAGAGATCCAATTCTATGTAGAAGTCTGTTAAAGTAGTAACTATCTTTAGCATGGGCATGGCTAAAATATTCAGATATGTAAGTTTCATTAAAACACATCATAGAGATGTAGATACGTTATAATGAACATACTTTTTGACTCTATTGAAGAATACAATAAAGTGAGACTTATCTACTTCAGTGCTTTGGATAATGATTGAGGTGGTTGGGGGATATGAGTGCAGTGATTATACTCTAAGCCTGTTCATCACTCACGTATTGTGAGTAATAGAGAGCCTTGGGTTCGTTGTATGCTATACTAATGGTGTTTAATATGTATTTATTTAAATTGGGTGGATGGACTTTAGGGTTTTTAAGAACAGTTACTAGATTCACTTGCAAGACTCCCTTTTACTCACAACACCATTAAAGGACCACTATAGGCACCCAAACCACTTCAGCTTAATGAAGTGGTCTGGGTGCCAGGTCCATCTAGAGTTAACCGTGCCTGCTGTAAACATAGCAGTTTCAGTGAAACTGCTATGTTTACATATGGGTTAATCCAGCCTCTAGTGGCTGTCTCATTGGCAGCCACTAGAGGCGCTTCCACGCTTCTCACTGTGATTTTCAAAGTGAGAAGACGCCAGCGTCCATAGGAAAGCATTGAGAATGCTTTCTTATGGACTGACTGAATGCGTGCGCGGCTCTTCCCTCGCATGTGCATTCAGCCGGTAACGTCAGAAGGAGGAGGAGATTCCCCAGCGCCGAGGGAGCCTGGCGCCCTCAGAAAGGTAAGCGTTTAACCCCTTCTTTGGGCACCAGGAGTAAACCTTGGTGCCTTTCTCATATCGCACAGTAACTCAGTGTCTGTTTTTCTCCTTAAGCGTTTCACCGCTTCCTCCCCCTAGGACCCAGTGGGAGGGGGGCCATGAGGGTGGGTTTGTTTTCCTGGCACTATAGTGGTCCTTTAAGTGAGGGGAGATATGGTGTAACTGAATGACAAAGAGGTTCAATTGTTTTAGAGAGATGACTTGGAGCACTTATGAAGGATGGGAGCAGCGTCACCCCAAAGAGTCTCTAAGATTCACAGAAGTGAAACTCCTTTATCATTGCATAATATAGAGATAAAGGGATTATTATTTTTTTCTTTGAGAAGGGGTTGGAGGCTTGAAGTAAGGAAGAAGCTTGGAGGTCACATGATCACTGTCATTTTTATGTGGGACATACTATCTACTACATTCCAAGCCTCCTTTCTCATTTACAATCACAGTGAATGAGAAGGGAGGCCTGGAGTCCAAATGTTAAAGGGACACTATAGTCACCAGAACAACTACAGCTTAATGTAATTGTTCTGGTGAGTAAAATCATTGCCTTCAGGCATTTTCGTGCAAACACTGCCTTTTCAGAGAAAATGTAGTGTTTATATTGCCCCTAGGGACACCTCCAAGTGGCCACTCCTCAGATGGCCACTGGAGATGCTTCCTGGGACAGTGCTGCACATTAGGAAGCTCTGCCGTTCAATGTCTCCACGCTCTGCATGGAGACGCTGAATTTACCTCATAGAGATGTAATCAAGGAGGCGGATCGGGGGCGAGTCCAGCACTGGCGGACCCGCGCGGTGCTGGAAATAAGGTGAGTTTTAATTCCTTTTAACGGGACTGGAGGGGGGGCAAGCCACCAGGTTTTAATTCCTTTTAAGGGGACTGAGGGGGGCAAGCCACCAGGTGTCGTGGTTGTTGCGGACTGCGCCGGACTGTCTTGAAGCCTACGTGAAAACCGAGCATGTAGAGGGAGGCCAATCCTCTACCGAAGCTTGGTTCCAGCCTCACTTGGGCACTCTTCCACCCCATTTGGACAAGTGAGAGTTATCCACTTACATGGAAAATGCAAAATGGAAGCCAAAGGCCTAAGGCCATCTCACTAAGATGGTCGACAATCGCAGAGTGCCTGATGCCTTCTGATATCATGTTTTTTAGAGGGCTTTGGTTTTCAGTAGGCATAATGCCTTCTGGAGCCTATCCAAGTGGAGTTTGACAGCCTATGCACCAAATTCAGGGAAACAATCAATACCCAAGCAGCAACTACTCTACCTGAGAAACAAGGCATTACAGTCTAGACCAGGGGTAGGCAACCTTTCAGCAGCACTGTGCCGATATAGGATTGTGATGTCCAGTAGCGTGCCGGTCCTATTTTTTTTAAATTGAAGTGTGTTTGCTGCCGTATTCTGCTTGTGTTATTTTAACTGTTATTGCTTTGTATCATTGTATTTGGGCGTGTATAAGCTATTATATTCTATATGTTCATGAGTAGTTTATGGTATTGTGTATGATGCATATGAATGTGGGCTGTGCATGGGGGCTGCTTGTGGAATTGTGTGTGTGGATAGATATGTCACATTGTGTGTTTGGTAGTGTGTGGGGGCTGTTTGGGGTATTGCATGTGAGAGGCTGCATGTGGGGTTGTGTGCATGTATGTGGATTTGTAGTGGTGTTGCGTTTAAGCGGATTGTGTGTATGTTTGTGTGTGGGCTGTCCGTATTATTTGTATGAGGGGAGGGCTATTCTGCATTTCTGTGTATATCTAGCAGTGTGGGTGGCTTCCCTGGGTTCCAGTGGGGACCAGGCCAGCCAGATACAGGTCAAGGATAGGAGCTGCAACAGCAACTGCGAGCTGCTCTACTACTGTGTGGATTCCCATTCACAAGTGCTGGAATGAAGTGCTCTGAGATCACTTCCTCTACGTGCTGCAATGCATAAATTGAGGATTGTCCTTCACCACCTCTTCGTATTAGCAGATATCTGAAGTTTTACTGGGACTCCTGATAGGCCAGAGCATGTTTGGCTCTAGCAGCCTTGAGTGCCGTGCAAAGGCACCTCGAGTGCTGTGCATGGCACTAGTGCCGTAGGTTGCCTACCCCTGGTCTAGACTAAAGCTATTGGCAGCTGGAATTCAGCTGAGTTTTCTGATATTTCTCCTGCACAGCATAAATGGTAAGACAGTGAAATAGCAGGTGTAAGCCAAACTACCTTATTGTTTGTCTTCTTTCAAGCCCTGCCGTCGCATCCTTAATTGACACGCCAGAGGGGACCCTTCTTACAAGCGCAAATTGCGATGTTGGAAAGTTCCCGCGCAGCATGGAGTACGGCGTGCAACAAGACTGTCCAGAGGCCCAGTTCCAGAGGCTGGCCTTGACGGGATTCCTGGAGAAGCAACTCCTAACTAATAGCTATGTACCTTTCTATTGCATCAATAAAAAAGAGATTGACAAAACAAAAAAAATAGCATGCTGGGAAATGCCAGGAAAGTGATGTTTTTTGGGCATTCAGTATTGACTTTTATCCAGTGATTACTCCATACATATTTATATGTCTTAATTATTAATAAATAACATGCTGGGACATCCCATAGTGCCAGGAAAACAAAGCCATTTTCCTGGAAATATAGGGTTACTAGTTATTGACACTATAGTTTTAGAAACACAGTTTAGGTTCGCTGGCCCACCTTGCCTGCATTTATAAAGGTGTTAAACTCACCTTATTATTAAGGCTGCACAGGTCTCATCAAGGCTATCCCCACCCCCTGCCCTGCATCTTTTATTGAGATCGTCAAACTTGACGATCTTAGCCAATTTGGGAGGCTATTGTGCATATGCGGCAAAACACAGTGGGGCGCCAATCTGCATCTCCTCATAGAGATACATTGCATTGAATCCATGCATCTCTATGGGGTGTGTTCAACGTTAAGAAGCCTGCATTAAAAAGACTGTAGGGGCATACTATACACACCAGAACAAATACATTATGCTGTAGTTTTTCTGGTGACTATAGTGTCCCTTTAAGATGTATTTTATTTACTATTTAAAATAAACATAAGACTACTGCATATAAATGCAACTGTATAAATAAATTGTGTCACTAAATCAACTGTCCAAGTTTATCAACCATAGTAATGAAATTTCACTGTCTAATCCCAATCTTTGGCTCATAAGCAAGTATGAAATTATTACAAATAAGGCATTTGGCAGCTTAAAGGTTATACTATTAAAATAAAACCTTAATGGAGTAAAATTGAATAGCTGTAAAATATCCAAGATTTGTGGTGGGAATCTGTTAAGAGCTGATGGATAAATTCCCGAAATATAGTAATTAGAGTAAAATTTGTGGGTTTTCTTATAAAACATATGTCATTTTTGAAAATTCTCTCAAGGTTAGCAAGTACCAGATTTAATTTGCATCATAACATATGCACAGTGTTTTGACTCAAAACTTATATAAAGATTCTCAGATTCTCGATACATTCCCTCAGTAATAAATTGAGGATAGATGTATTTTCTATCAAAGTAAATATTAATAATGTACGTGTTTATATATCCCAACACGCAAAATTCTGTGCAAAGAATACACTTTTTCTGTAAATAGTTTGCATCAGCAGAAATTGCAAAAGAACCACTATTTTCAATAATTTTAGGAATCATCTTATCATTTACAAAAGGGGCTTGAGTTTATAAACACAAGTACAATAGATCGAACACATCAAAGATTACGAAATGGCAGATGCACCACCAAGCAGGTATCACTGAAAGTGCATTGCAGGAAGGTGGATAGACAATTTATGTTAAAGGGTTTCCGAAATTAAATTGCTGTCTTGTGAGAGAATGAATGGTCTAGTACTGAAAAGGCAGATTGGCTAGTTGGATGAATAATTGATTAAATACTTTCTGGTAATCTATCATGTACAGCATATGTTAAGGTGTCTTTAAAAATGTAACTTCTCTCTCGACACGCACCCTCTCTCTCCTGAAACCCCCCCCCCCTGCCGATATGGCTTCCGATAAGCATTAAGACCCCCACCAATAGCACAACACTTCCTCAACCACATTCAGTCTCAACCCGCAGCGGAAGAGGAAGGACGCGTAAATCCCAAGACCACCATATACAAACCCACAAACAGGACCAGTCCTGATCCTACCACATAAGGCCGATCCTAAAACCTGAGACTCCCGATACCCAATTTGATGTGAATCTTAGATCTCTATTACTTATTCATGTATGTTTTGTTGTTTACTGACACCCAAGCTGCATCTATGGTATTGATTCTAATATTGTATTACACAATGTTTTCCAGTACCCTTATTATTTTCCACGTGTAACAAAATTTCTTCTTCCATAAATAAAGAATTGTAAAATAAAATTTAACTTTTCATGAAACACTCAAAGTGGTATGTATCAATCAGATGGGGCGGGACCAGAAAAGGCATCACCAGTGAAAAGACTCATGCAGCGGCGATGCCCATAATGAGCACGTCCACCAAGAAAAATGGGCTAGTCTAATCACTTTAGTGGCATGACACCCTCTCTGACTGGCCTCTTAACAGCAGAACCTTGTACAGAGCACTGCTGAATCACAGTCTAAAAAGTCCTAACGCCTGATGCACAATGCAAGCTTGTTTAATGATACTCTCTCACTGTGCTACCTGGGGACAGTTCCCTGATGCCACCAGATGCAGGACATCATGGAATAAAGTGAGTGGTGGGGTAAGAACCCTGAAATTCAGACTGTCCCATGGAAAACGTAAATGTTGGAAGGTTTACGTATGCAGTAGATATATTAACAAGATTCTCAAGTACTGAAACTGGATGTGATCAGAAAAATGTTCACGTCATAAAGACAGCACACTTTTAACTCTGTGTAACATGATTTGCTGGTAATCATGATTTTCAGTGAGCTTTGTTGTGATGTCATCTACCAATAGCAGTCGTAAATTCTAAATAATGATCCAGCCAGGGCTGGACTGAGAATGCAAAGCAGCCCGGGAAACAAAATGTATGCCAGCCCCATAAGTCATTGTGCCACGGTAGTATTTGCGTGTGTGTATATGCATATATGTGTGTGTGTGTGTGTATATATACATACACACACACACATACATACACATGACTTATAGGGCTGGCATACATATTTCATATATATATAAAACTAAGAGGGCTGTACTCACCTGAACATGCATACATTATTGGGTGCTGCTGGGGCCAAAATATACAAAATACACAATCCAGCGCACTTGCTTATTCACTAAACAATGATTTCAAATCTTAGAGATTGTAATAGTTTTATTTAAAAACACCTCACCTAGGCAAAAAATAATGGGGGTTTAGTTACAGTATATGATCATACATTGCATAAGTCTGCCACAACGTCAATTTACCCCATTCTTGGCAGGTCCTACTCTAGCAGCCTAATGCTTGCTCTTATGAGATTAATCCACTTACTTGGGAAATACTTCCTTACTGGCACTCTCTGCAAGTCAAGACTAAATAGGATCCTGGAATGAGGCACCTGTGACAGGGAGGGGTGCAAAACCAAGGTAAAAACACCTCATCTAGGCAAAAAAATAACAGGGGTTCCATTCCATGCTCCTATTTAAGAATGGGGTACATTGGCGTTGTGGCAGGCTTATGCAATATATATATGATCATGTAATGTAACTAAACCCCCATTATTTTTTGCCTAGGTGTAAGTTTTACTCTGCTATTTTCTTTAAAGCTCCTCAAGCGGCTGTCTGAGTGACAGTCACCAGAGGCACCTAAAACCTGAGAGATATATATATATATCAAAAACCAAAAAGGTTATGGTGGGGAAAAATATTGTGATTGAAAACCACCTGAAGTCTGTGGATAGTTAATACAATGTTAAACAAAAATCTGCACACCAGTCAAGCCATAAGACATTTCTGTGTGAAAAGCAAGTCTTATGGCTTGACTGGTGTGCAGATTTTTGTTTAACATTATATTAACTATCAATCAAAAATTTTCCCCACCATAACCTTTTTGGTTTTTGCTTCCCAAGCACTACCAAGCCTCAATAAGCAAACCAGTAACCAGCCTCATGCTGATGATTTGCATTAACAATGAAACAGCTGTCCATGTGTGCTTTACTGGCTTTGCATCTTTTCCTAAATTGTGTTTCAATGCTGTTGTATACAGCAAACACAGACTCAAAGGAATCCATGTTTAAAATGGAATGAGGCAAAAACGTGATTCTTAGTTAAACTGATTTGCATATGCCCACCCAGAATCCTTTGCGGTTGTAACATCGCTGCAGATTTGGAATTTCAGTAGGAAAAGCAAGTCTTATGGCTCGACTGGTGTGCAGATTTTTATTTAACATTGTATTAACTATATATGTATACAATTAATTAAAAGTAAAATGCTCTTAATATGTGACATTAATAATAATCAATTAGTTCAATTAATTATGTGTGACATTACATCTGGGAGTAAAATGCATAAAATATATCTGGTCATTTTCCCACCTTTTTTTTATATGCGAATTCTTTGAATAAACTCTGAATCTCTTGTCATGGGAGCTATCACAACAGGACCATAATTTACAATGGTTATTACCTACAATGCTTTCAATGTGTAATCCTGAGCTATAATGGTATCACTTTTAAAAAAGCAATTATCTAATGGGTTGTTCTTGACACTATATAAATGTTATCCCACATATAAATGTTGTTTATGAGAAGTGCCTTTATGGATTAAATGCTCTGGGAAACACTGCATTTTTGGCCATTGCTTTTTCTGTATGTCCTTCCAGCCTTTTATATACTGGAATAAAGTTTATTAATGCAATTGCAGCAAAATGATTGAGGCTCATGAATAATGTTCTTCCAAATTGTCTGGCTTATGTATGCTCACTTCACAGAGCTTTTGTGATGAAATTTTGTTGTTTTTGCTTCAATTTGTGTGACAGCTGATCATGGATGTTTGTGGGCCTATCACTGCCCCTCCGAGCATCTGCATTGTACTATACTTAGTGCATTGCTGTCTAGCAAAACAAAATAGTTATCCTGCCATAAATACATGTAGATAAATAAAAGTGTTCTGAAAAGTGTCTTTTATTATTGGTCTCTACTGTGTACCTACCTAAACTGTGCCACTTTTCTCAGAAATACAGATTTCAGAAACAATCGACAAACTTAGAATGACAGAAAAGATAAGTTAAACAAAACACTTTTCTGGCTGATTCATAAATTCATTATGTCATGAAAAAAATGTCCCACGTTCAAAAATTAAAATAAATTGCACAAAAAGAAGGTACAAAACTCTCTAAAACCAATTTTCCTCCCAATTGTAAATACTTGCTAAGTAGTAGTACTTAGCACTGAGCGAGCACCATTTCAAATTTGTCTAAAGGTTTCAATGATTAAAGAAACCCTAAAGTGTTAGGAAGACAAGCCTGTATTCCTAACGCTTTAGAGTCCCTGTCCCTAGTATTATAGACACCCCCACGTGAGTGATTAAAACCAATATTATTAAGATTTTTACTTACCTTTTCCCAGCACTGAGGGATCAGGGTTGGCTTTAGAAAGATACACGGTTGCAATATGGGGACTACGTGGAAAAGGCCCATTAAAAAAAAAAAAAATTTTTTACACACTACTCTTAGGTTTGCCACCTGCCTGGTATTTTAAGGCACAGCCGGTATTTGAAGCTGCCTGGTTGTGACGGTATTGCAATAATACCGGCAATACAAACGCAAATATTTTTCTCAGTATAAATGGAGATTACTCTGCAATACCAGCACCGGCCAGTAGGGGTTACAGCATCTCCCTGCCTCTCTCTACTCACTGATCCACGGGGGAGCAGCTACACAGCACAGAGATTCCAGACAGCAGCTCCCAGTCTGCAGAGACAGACTACAGCTCAGGTATGGGGGGAAAGGCAGCAGGGAGACATGGGGACACTGAGACACTAGGGGACACTGGGAGACGTGGAGACACTAAGAAACATAGGGACACTGAGACACTATGGGACACTGTGAGACATGGGGATGCTGAGACACATGGGGATGCTGTGAGACATAGGTAGACACACTGGGACATGGAGACACTAGGGAAACAGTGTCTCCATGTCTCCCAGCCAGTGTCCCTAGTGTCTCAGTGTCCCCATGACTCCCAGTGTCCCCTAGTCTCCCAGTGTCTGTGTCCCCATGTCTTTCAGTGTCCCCATGTCTCCCAGTGTCCCCATGTCTCTCAGTGTCCCCAAATATCTGTATCCCCATGTCTCCCAGTGTGCACATGTCTCCCAGACAGTTTCTCAGTGTCCCCATGTCTCCCAGTGTCCCCATGTCTCCCAGTGTCCCCATGTCTCCCAGCCAATGTCCCTAGTGCCTCAGTGTTCCAATGTCTTCCAGTGTCTGTGTCCCCATGCCTCTGTGTCCCTAGTGTCCCCAAATGTCTCAGTGTCCCCATGTCTCCCAGTTTCCCCATGTCTATGTCCACAAGTGTCCCCATGTCTTCCAGTGTACCCAAGGGTCTGTGTCCGCATGCCTCCCAGCCAGTGTCCTTAGTGTCCCCTAGTCGCTCAGTGTATGTGTTCCCATGTCTCTCAGTGTCCCTAGTGTCTTAGTTTCCCCAAATGTTTGTGTCCCCATGTCTCCTAGTGTCTGTGTCCCCATGTCTCCTTGTCCATGGTGTCTGTGACTCCATTTCTCAAAATGTCCCCAAATGTCTCAGCGTCCCCATGTCTCCCAGTGTCTCTATGTCTCCCAGTGTCCCCATGTCTGTATCCACAAGTGCCCCCATGTCTCTGAGTGCCCCCATGTCTCCCAGTGTCCCCAAGTGTCTCAGTGTGCCCGGGTCTCTCATTGTCCCCATGTCTCACTGTTTTCGCCATGTCTCTCAGTGTCTCTTGTATTCTAGTGACACGGGACACACTGAGACATGGGGACACTGGGAGAAATGGGGACACAGACACTGGGAGACTAGGGGACTGGGCGACATAGGGACACCGACACTGTGATACATAGGGACACTGATGCCAGGCTGGCCTTCCAATTCTTTGGACAGACATGCCCCCTTTTTGGGCATGTTCGCCTCTTTTGGCAGTTCTGGTCACGTGATTCGCGTCAGTGACCCATCCCTTTACCGCGTCCATTGACTTCCTGCTTCACTGGACACTGCTGTTAGGGAATATGTATTTACTTGAAAGATGAAAGCATAAATTAGATAAAGAGATTAGCATAGAGTATGTGTTTTCTTATAGCTGCATTCTTTGAGTTTCCCTCCAACACCATCTCCATCAGATACATGACGCTTGAGAGGTATGACTGTTTTAGTGTTTTTAGTTAGTTCATGAAATTATTCATTTTCTGGACCGGGAAAAGCTTAAAGACATGGCTGACTACTTTGAGAACAGGTGGGGCCTTCCACAGTGTGTTGGAGCTATTGATTGGTAACACATACCAATAAAAGCACCACAATAATACCACACTGACTACTTCAACAGAAAAGTCTGGCATTCCATCATCCTCCAGGGAGTAGTAGATGGAAAAGGACTATTCTGGAGTGTGAATGTAGGAAAGCCTGGGAGTTTGCATGACGCTTGGGCTCTACAATTGTCCACATTTTGGGACTTGGTTGGGCAGGGAGGCCTGTACCCTGTTTGCACTAAGAACATTGGGGGGAAGAATGTTGGCTATTATGTGTTGGGAGACTCTGCCTACCCTTTACAGAACTGGCTCCTGAAACCATTTCCTGACAATGGCCGTCTGACACCAGAACAGCAAACCTACAACAAGAAAACATCCAGGGCACGGGTCGTAGTTGAAAATGCATTTTGGAGACTTAAGGGTGGGTGACGGTATCTTATGAAGAGGAATAACAGTGACATTGAATTTGTCAAATCCATGGTGCTTACTTGCAGTACTCTTCACAATCTTTGTGAAAGTCATGGCGAAAACTTCCACCAGGAATGGAATACGTCTGCAGAAGAGCCAGTACGGGTAATAGCACGGGATAGCGAAGAAGAGTGCAGAGTATGTCAGGCTCTGATGCGGCACCTCAACATTTGATATTATACCATGATTTTTTTTAAGTTTTACATTTAATAAGGCCCACCCACAGTCTCTCCAGATTTTTATTCCCCTAAAAAGTAATCTTGAAAAAAAAAAAAAAAATTAAAAGAAATTGTTTTTTTGTTTTTTTTTTTACAAATAAACAATAATTAAAAAAAAATAATAATTACAAAAAAAAGTGTACAGGTCCTGTGCTGGCTGAAAGGTGGCATGGGATGACAACTGCATCCCTGCACTTGAACAAGCTGCCCAAGGTAGCCAACTGCTGTCAGGCGATTTCTGCCACCTGGCGCCTCCTGATGCAGTTCCTGAAACTGCCGCTCAGAAAGGTTCTCCATTCTTTCCTGCTGCCTTTCATCTGCTGCCCGCATATCCTCCATGACTGTGCGCACATCCAGCTGCAAGCATCTCCTATCACCTGGAATATACAAAAGACCAGAATAGTGTGTTTTTAGCAATGGTACAAAAACTAGTTGGATATATATTAGCTAACATAATGTAAATAAAGAACAGATATAACACATAAGAACCATGTAAACACAAATTAAAATAAACTCAATAAACACAATATATACAAGAGAAGCTCAAAACACAATGAAGAAAATTAAATAGCAGTATATACAGACAATGTACAATTATGATTATGGATTTGATCATGCAAACATAAACTACACAGAGGAATTTTGAGTGATTTCACAGTTTAATGTGAATTAAAAGTTAACAAAATGCACAATTACGCTTTCACTCTGATCATCATGTCTTACCAGTGTGTTGATGCCGGGGTGCATTGGGCGTAATCTGTGGTGGTCCGCCCAGTTTTTGCTACACATGCACAATTGCCTACCAATGCTTTCCTATGGAATAGCATTGGATTGGACGAGATCATCAAGTTTGATGAGCTCAGCCAAAGTGAAGAACACACTCAAAGGATTTTAAAATCAACAAGATAACGTCATTTGTTTTTTTTACAGGTGTGCAACAGTATACATTCACGATTTCGGTCCCGTTACCAAACATGCAAATGCACATCTCCTTAAAATAAATCCGCTCTTTTGTTTACTTTGAAGCCCTACGAGCGTGAGGACGTCCAGTGTCAGGCAATGTTTTTATACTGTACTTTTCTAAATAAACCTACGTTTCTATGAAAACTGAAGTTTTACTTTTTTGTGGCCTACATGAACTTAAACCTTGTTAATTTGGGCATGTTAGCCATTGAGTTTGACATGCTTGCTTTACAGGCTGGTATTCATTCCTTGATGAAAAATGTGGGTGACTGAAGCTGCAAAAAAATTTTTATATTTAATCCTGGTAGTGAAATGGTTAATACTATTTTTCCTTAGCTGAACAACTTGAAAATATATTTACTATACATCAAGCATGTCAAACTCGCAGGCCGCGGGCAGCATGCGGCCTACAAGGACCATCTTTGCGGCCGGTCGAGCCACGGGTACATGCTAGTGTTATAGCAGAGTAGGAACCTGCTTTCCCCACATTGCAGGTGCCTACTCTGCTAAAACTTACCTGGCCAGAGAGGAAGGAACTGTGAATGCTTTCCTGCTCCTTACTGCTCCCTCCTGCACGCCGTCTGAAGTGAAGCTTGTCGTCGGAATATGACATCACATTCCGGCACCCGCATCACTAAACCGCGTGAGGGAGGGAGCAGTGAGGAGCAGGAAGGACCCCAGGGAGAGGCCCCACATCGGCTCCATAAGGGAAGGAGCAATAAAAAAAAGTATGTAAGTATGTGTGTGCAAGAATGTGTAAGTGTGTATGTCTGTTTGTCATTGAGTGTGTCTGTGTCTGTCAGTGAGTATGTGTGTGTGTGTGTCTGTCAGTGTGTCTGTGTGTCTGTCAGTGAGTGTGTGTGTGTGTCTGTGTGTGTCTGTGAGTATGTCTGTCAGTGAGTGAGTGTGTGTCTGTCAGTCAGTGAGTGTGTGTGTGTGTGTCTGTCAGTGAGTGTGTGTCTGTTAGTGTGTGTGTTTTTCTGTGAGTGTGTGTGTGTGTCTCTGTCAGTGAGTATGTGTCTGTGTGTCTGTCTGTCAGTGAGTGTGTGTGTGTGTGTGTCTGTCAGCAAGTATGTGTGTGTCTGTCAGTGAGTATGTGTGTGTGTATGTCAGTGTGTCTGTATGTGTGTGTGTGTCTGTCAGTGAGTGTGTGTCAGTGTGTCTGTATGTGTGTGTGTGTGTGTCTGTAAGTATGTGTGTGTCTGTCAGTCAGTGAGTGTGTGTGTGTGTGTCTGTCAGCGAGTGTGTGCCTGTCAGTGTGTGTGTTTGTCTGTGAGTATGTGTGTGTCTCTGTCAATGAGTATGTGTCTGTGTGTCTGTCTGTCTGTCAGTGAGCGTGTGTGTGTGTGTCTGTCAGCAAGTATGTGTGTGTGTATGTCAGTGTGTCTGTATGTGTGTGTGAGTCTGTCAGTGAGTGTGTGTCAGTGTGTCTGTATGTGTGTGTGTGTGTCTGTGAGTATGTGTGTGTGCGACTGTCTGTGAGTATGTGTGTGTCAGTGTGTCTGTATGTGTGTGTCTGTCAGTGAATATGTGTGTGTCAGCAGGAGGATCAGGTTTGGCACATGGTTCTGTAGTTTAGTAGAGAGGGAGCTGGGATTTAGTAGAAAGGGGTGCTGGGGTTTAGTAGAGGGGGATGCTGAGTTTCTTTTTATACTGTACTTTTTAAAATAAACCTAGATACCCAATGAAAATCTACGGTATCTTGCGGCCCACATAAACTTAAACCTTGTTTATGTGGCCCGATCCAAACTTTGAGTTTGACATGCTTGCCATACATGAATGAATACTTCAGTATTAGAAATGAAGTACATTTTTAGAGGTCCACCTGTTTCTCTAAGAGAATATAAAGGTTTACTTGTGTCTAACCTTGGTTTACTTGTGTCTAATCTAGGTTTACTAATGTATAACCTAAGACAACTGTGCTCTATCCCCGAGAGATCTCGAGCCAATCCAGTGTTTGTCATAGATAAGCATTGGGGTTCTACATTGCATGCATGCACTGCATTTATTAAAAATTTCTTATTATTATAATTATTATTATTATTATTGAAAGGAACACTCTGTTAACCCCTAAATCACTTCTGCAAGGTGAAGTGCTTTAGGTGTTTGGAGTATTCTTTTACTGACTCTTCTACGAGGACATTACTAAATTAAGTGACAATTAGAGGTACAGACTACAAATTACATGCTGAACAGTGCTACATAATTTCCAGTGTTCTTCCATAAAATCAATTTGGCTGTAGGGTCATAGGTCTGATTGTGCATAGTTTCTCTATTGCACAGTCAAGGCTTTTAAACAGGGCCCGGATTGGCCAATAAGGATACAGGGATATTTCCTTGTGGCCCGGGACATCTGGAGCCAGCATTGTAGCACATGACATGCGACATCTTTTATTTATTTTTTCTCCTCTTCGGACTGTGCGTTGGGGGGCTGGAGAAGTGCAGACATTTAGCTAGGTGGCCGCATTGAGGCTACCAGCGGCCGGGACACTAGCAAAGTTGGCAGTCAGCTAGCAGCGAGGGAGAGTGAGAGAGAACTGTAAGTCTCTTTCACAAATGCCCCTTTGCAGTTTCAAGTGCTGCATGGCCTGATGACTCTGGTAGTAGAAAACCCTGCATTGGAGCTCTGCCCCCCAGCTTCAACCAGCTGATCTTGCAGATAGGAAGAGGAAGAGATAACTTCACTGTCTTTTGTCCCCATTGTCAGTGACAGATACTTATAGGTTTGCCCAGGAACCCATGACTGATAGTGATTTTGTGTGTGTGTGTGCTTACCAGTGAGCTTATCTGTAATGAGCTTGTGTGTATCTGTGTCTCAGTGTGCTTCTCTGTAGTGAGCTCCTCTGTTGTGTTAGTAAGCTTGTTTAGATTGAGTTTATGTGTGTGCATCAGTGAGCTTGTCTGTAGTGAGCTTTTGTGTGTGAGCTTGTCTATAGTTAGCTTGTGTGTGTTTGTGAGCTTGGCTGTACCGAGCTTGTGTATGTCAGTGGGCTTGTCTGTAGAGAGCTTGTGCGTGTTTCTGTCAGTGAGCTTGTCTGTAGTGAGCTTGTGTGTTTCTGTGTCAGTGAGCTTATCTGTAGTGAGCTTTTGTGTAAGTAGGCTTGTCTGTAGTCAGTTTCTGTGTGTTTGTGTCAGTGACTTGTCTCTAGTGAGGTTGTGTGAGCATGTGTCAGTGAGCTTGTGTGTGTTTGTGTCAGCGAGTGTGTCTGTTGTGAGGTTGTGGTTGTCAGTGACCTCGTCTGT